GCAGAGTCGCTCGTTGCCGTCTTGTCGCCGCGATGCTGCCAGACGATTACAGCCTTCCTCGGTATCTTGAAGGCCAATCTAGCATATCTGCCGCTCGACGTGAACGTGCCTGCTTCCCGGATTAACGCAATATTGGCGGCCGTTGAGGGTCTCAAACTGGTCTTCCTCGGGCCTGACGTGCCTCCTCCGGTACTGCAGTCGCCTGACCTAGAACTGGTACGCATCGGCGATACTCTGGGTGGCGACACACTGGACCAGCGAGCCCTACATGATTCCATAACCCTAATTACGCGGCCTGGCGCAACAGGCCTGGCATATGTTGTTTTCACGTCAGGATCGACAGGCAAACCCAAGGGTGTTATGGTGGAGCACCGGGGAATCGTCCGGCTAGTGAAGGAGAGCAATGTTGTGCGCATACTCCCAAAAGCACCCTCCGTGGCCCATTTGTCAAACACCTCATTCGATGCGTCGGTGTGGGAGATATATGCGGCACTGCTAAATGGCGGGACTGTGGTCTGTATTGACTATGCCACCACTTTGGACAGCCAAGCTCTGGCCGCTGTATTTTCTCGCGAACGGATCTGTGCGACCATGCTTCCACCCGCACTGCTGAAGCAATACCTGGGTGATATACCTAATTCCATCAGCTCCCTCGATGTCCTCTATGTTGCCGGAGACCGGTTTCATACTCGGGATGCAATAGAAGCGCAAAGGCTCCTTCCAGGTGGCGTCTATAATGCCTACGGTCCAACGGAGAACACGGTTCTCACTACGGTCTATAAGCTAGTGGCTAATGAGGAGTTCCTGCACGGAGTCCCGATCGGTCATGCAATCAGCAACTCCGGAGCGTACATCATGGACCAGCGGCAACAGCTTGTCCCGCCCGGGGTGATGGGAGAGTTGGTCGTCACAGGAGATGGTCTCGCTCGAGGATACACTGACCCGGCATTGGACAAGGATCGCTTTATAGATGTCATCATCGACGGCCAGGAAGTGAGGGCGTATCGCACAGGGGATCGTGCGCGCTATCGGCCGAAGGATTGTCAGATAGAGTTCTTCGGGCGCATGGACCGGCAGATCAAAATCCGCGGCCACCGGATTGAGCTGGCGGAGGTGGAGCATGCAATCCTCGGCCAGGAGTCGGTCCACGACGCGGCCGTGGTGGCCATAAAACAAGACGATGAGGAGCTAGAGATGGTCGCTTTTGTGGAGGCTCCAATAGATGGCCCAAC